GGATACGTGATCAGTAGTATTTGTTTGTGCTTTTATGGAGGAAGGATCTGTCACATTTTTAATAATAATAAATACATGAGGACAGATTTGCCCGAACTGCTCTGGCTCCTTGGGAAGGGTGGGGGAGGGGAGCCAAATGCAGCTGCGGCAGAGACCAGTATCTCCCTCTCCCATCCCCCATGAGCTCAGTATTGCAGCAGCTTCCCCTCCCCCTCCAACTGCAGTCCTCCCAGCCACAGCCCACCCTCTCCACAGTCCCTTCATACAGCTCTGCCCCTCCCTCACCCACTTCTCTCCCTACTCCTCCCCAACCTCACTCTAGACTTTCAGTACTGGTCCTCATTTAACACAGCCGTACCCTAGCTTGAAGAAGCCCTTGTACTTCTGTTTTAAATCTGCTGTCCCCATCAAGGTTCCTTGATGGGGTTTTATTTCAGAGCCCTTCATTAGCTAAAAGCAGCCCCCAGACCCCCACACCTGTCATACAACACTCCACAGAAGTCATCTAGCACATTCCAGTATTTCCTGGAGTCCACCAAAAAGGGACAGCTTTTTCTCTCCATTTTTATCTCAATGTGACCTCCTTCCTCACACTCCTAATGTAACAGTCATCAAATGTGCTGGTGTTTAGGGGATATCAGAGCCTCGGGTCTCAGTGACTACTGCCACCTACTGACCCAAATTTGTCCAAGATAGACCTTTAATATACTTCTTACACAGTGACGCTCTGTTATTTCAAAAACATCAATAGCTTAAACATGCAAAGGCATGACTCTTGGGGCACCTCTGAGACCCTCTGAACAATGAGATCAAAGAAATACAAAAGCAAGACTGGGCAGAGAGCCAGACCAAGGATGCCTTTCTCTATGCACAGGGAGAAAGAGGAACAGGGAATGAAAATCCAACTTTAAGTCTCCTCAAGGATCTGTACGGGAACAGAATTATTCTCAAGTACTAACAAGATGTTACCATAGAAAAGAAAGCAGGACTTAACTCATATGCTTTCATCAAATTGTCTAAATCTTTGTCATAAATCTGGGGTTTACAGGCTTAATAGATCTCAGAAAGGATGAGGACTTTCAAGACAACCCCATCTAATGTGTACCAATGAGAAGATTGGTCTGTCAGATTGGACAGACAAAGCTGGGCACTGAAAAAGGGCGCGTCTATTCCATTTAGTGCTAAGGGTTGGTTTAGCACTGGTCCTTTCCACCCAGGAATGAGACAGCCTGAACTCTCCATGGTCCTGAAACCTGATATACTACAATTAGGCCATCCTTTTTCTTTTTGGGGGGGTGGGGCTTGAACTCTGGGTCTGGGGGCTGTCCCTTACCTCTTCAGCTCAAGGCTAGCGCTCTACCACTTGAGCCACAGTGCCACTCCAAGATTTCTGGTAGTTTATTGCAGATAAAAGAGCCTCACACACAGACTTTCCTGCCCAGGCTGGCTTTGAACTGTGATCCTCAGATCTCAGCCTCCTGAGTAGCTAGAATTACAGGCACAAGCCACTGATGCCCAGCAGGCCATCCTTTTTTCATAGCACCCTACCACTGAGCTATATAACTAGACTGTGGTTGTTTGAAAACAGGTCTGTCTATGTAACTCAGATTGGCCTTTTACATGCCATCCTTTTTTCATAGCACCCTACCACTGAGCTATATAACTAGACTGTGGTTGTTTGAAAACAGGTCTGTCTATGTAACTCAGATTGGCCTTTTACTTGCTATGTAACCCATACTAGCCTTAATTATATCTTTCTGCCTTGGTCTCCCAAGTGTTGGTATTACAGGCCTGTACCATCAACCTGCACTCTTTTTCTAATAAGTTATCCATGAAGACTGTTGGGAACTTCTGATAAACCTTTATAAAACTTTCCCCTTATTACCCAAACCTTTATAAAACCCTAAAAACAAAGTTTTAAGGTAAAATTAGACTGGTGACACTCTCTTCCCTACTCCTAAGACAGAAGAAACTAAGACAGAGATACTAAATTAAACAAAGTCAGGACTTTCTTACCATCATATGCTAACACAATAGATGCTCATGTGCACTAATGATAGAGAATATGCTGTGATCTATTATCATTTGACATTCTTGTAGCTCTGAAGAACCAGAGAACTGAATCTGTATTAATACAGGAAAGAAGAAAAGTGAACAACAGAACCAACATTAAAGAAACCTCCAAGCCAGGCACCGGTAGCTCACACCTATAATCCTAGCTACTCAGGAGGCTGAGATCTGAGGATTGAGGTTCAAAGCCAGCCTGGGCAGGTAAGTCTGTGAGACTCTTATCTCCAATAAACCACTAGAAAACCGAAAGTGGCACTGTGGTTCAAGGGGTAGAGCGCTCGCCTTGAGCTGAAAGAACGCAGGGACAGTGCCCAAGCCGAGTTCAAGCCCCACGACCGAACAAAAAACAAAACAAACAAACAAAAAAAACCCTCCAAATTCTAATTTTTCCTCAATTACTGTATCAACATCCCTTAAGCTATTTTCTATAGAGGTCTAAAAGTCATAAAAGGAGGTCATACCTCTCATACCCATTTCAACCAAACTAACTGCACTCAGGCACATTATATATAGATTAAGAATTTATATATACAGGTTAAAATTGTCATATAATATACTCTTACTGTTTATTGACTCTGCTATAAATACTCTTAGAAATAATTTCATTAACTGTTGGAAGCCTTTTATTAATGCCAAAAGGCTGGGGGGGGGGGGGGGGGAGGGAAACAAGATGACCTGAGATTAAAGACTGAATTAAGAAGCCGGGCACTGGTGGCTCACGCCTGTAATCCTAGCTACTCAGGAGGCTGAGATCTGAGGATAGCGGTTCAGGAAAGTCCGTGAAACTCTTATCTCCAATAAACCACCAGAAAATCAGAAGTGGCACTATAGCTCAAGTGGTAGAGTGCTAGCCTTGAGCTGAAGAGCTGAGGGACAGCACTCAGACCCAGAGTTCAAGCACCTCGACCGACAAAAGTAAAAGACTGAATTAAGTTAACATAAGGTCCATGAAAGCAGGGATTTTTGTTGTGTTCATTGGTGTACACTAAGAGGCCAGCATAGTGCCTGAAGGCAGTGTATCTACCTAAAACGTTGCAGTAAAGACAGAGGTTAAAAAGTCTTGGCATTTAAAAAAAAAAGAATAATAGCCCCGAAGACCTTCATGAACAACATGACAATTGAAGTCCTCCATCCCCTTCCTGAGGAACTGTTTTTCCAATGCTAGCCATGAGTCATACTTTTTTGTTAAACCACTTGTCCGGAGATTCTTTCCTCTTTCATGCTAAGTCTGTTCCTTTGGCTCTTAAGGACACAGAAGTCTGAGGTCTCAGGGCATGTCAAGGTCCCCCAGTTCTGAGGGACTGAAAGTCATGAACTCTATAAACAAATCCATCCTGGCACCATTCAAAAAACTTTGATTTGGAGGGCACCTCAGAAACAAATTAAAGGGCAGAGATGTTAAATGATTTGCCTAAGACCACCAGATCAGCTAAGGACAGGCATAAATCCAGACTTCTAATTTCTACCAGATTACAATGGACAGAATACAGACTCTTACCCAAATAAGGCAGACCACTATAAATCCAAATTCAGAGGACTTAGGTTTTCTGAAGGTAATGAGTCCAATTATATTCCTATGATACTGCCCAGAAGAGCCAGCAACCAGAATCAGGTGTTCCAGAGACACAAAGCCTTTCAAAAGCCTCCAATGAATCAATTCTATACATTCAACTTCATTTTAAATCTTGTGTTCACTTTTTTATCACCCAAGGCCTGTAGGACCTCTTACCAAAAGAAGTTATTCTCTGGATAGAATTCAAGATCTCAAATATAATTCCCACTATTCTCCTGACTGGGTTTGGCCGGTATTTCTGTAGGGCTTTCATTCTTCTGGTTGTCACACTAGGAATTTCCTATATATCTGCTTCTTGCCATTCTTTTGCAGCTCTTTGCAAATGGACTGGCCTTTACTGACTCTGACAAACTGAATTGAAGGAAGATTAAAAAATAACTAAAAGCAAAAAGAGCAGGGGAGGGCTGGGAAGGTGGCTCAGTGGTAGAGCCCTTGCCTTGCATGCCTGAGGCCCTGGGTTCGATTCCTCAGCACCACATAAGCAAAAAGAAAAAAAAGCCGGAAGTGACACTGTGGCTCAAGTGGTAGAGTGCTAGCCTTGAGCTGAAGAGCTGAGGGACAGCGCCCAGGTCCAGAGTTCAGGCCCCACGACCAGACACCCCCCCCCCCCCCAAAAAAAAGAGCAGGGGACATGTTTCAAGTGATAGAGCATCTGCCTAGTAAGCATGTAATGGAGTTTAAAGGAAAGAGGAAGAAGAAAAGAAAGAGAGAGGAAGGAAGGAAGGGAGGGAAGGAGAGAGGGAAGGGAGGGGAGGGAAGGGGAGGGGAGGGGAAGGGGAGGGGAAGGGAGGGGAGGGGAGGGGAGGGGAGGGGAGGGGAGGGGAGGGAAGGGGAGGGAAGGGAAGGGAAGGGAAGGGAAGGGAAGGGAAGGGAAGGGAAGGGAAGGGAAGGGAAGGGAAGGGAAGGGAGGGGAAGGGAAGGGAGGGAAGAGGGAGAAGGGAAAGGAAGGAAGGTGAACATTCTGAGAAGCAGAGATGCAGAAAGGTTCTGATGAAGAAAGTTTCTCTTGTATTTGTTTATAGTCAGGCACTACTGCCACCTGGTGGCCAGGCTACATACAGTCATAAAACTTAAAATCCACCTATTAGTATTGTGTAACAACTCTATATAGAAAGTTGGGGCAATGTGGGTTGGAACAATTGACTGGTCTACTCTAATCTCTCAATGTTTCTTAATAAATAGCCAATCTCCAATTTCTAGAGAATATATATTACCAATGAAAACTTTACAAAGACAAACTTCTAAAATAAAAGAAAAAAATCATCTTTCCCTTTCCATACTCATTCACCAAAAATACTCCACAAACTCAGCAATTCCAGTCATACAATACATGTACAAAGGGGGTTTTAGTTCTTAAGTAAAATCAATTTTATTAGTAAAAAAATCTTTCCAAATGTCCAAAGCAAACATTCCAAGGAAAAACCTACATACAGTAAAATTAGAAGTATCCCAGGTTGACAAAAAGATACATAAATATGGACACCCATAATCACCGCCGCCTTCTGAAACCTGAAAGGAAGGGAAACCAAGAATGAGGCAAAGGAAAGTTAGAAAAGCTGAATGACAGGAAAATAGGGCTTATCTAGAGAAGGGCTTGACAAGGTAGGTTGCTAAGGTAGTCCTCTCTCAATTATCTTCCCAGGATTAAAGACTAGAAGTAGGAATGAAACTGAAATGGGATAATGGTTCCTTTGGGTAATACTTTAATTCCAGTTAAGGAAGAATGAACAGGTGTTGCGAGACCTTGGAGATGAAATCTAGATATCCCTTCTGTGAATAATGCTGATGTCCTGCTTAGATAAAAAGAAAGATAAAAAGCCCACCTACAGACAATAATGCTCATTATGGGAGAGATACTTCGGGGATTAATGAGACCCAAGATGGCAAATTCTGAGAGGTAGCATTTCAAATCAAACTTCTACGTTGCACTTGATCACTTAAGTCCTAGAGGTTCACTGACCTTTTTTCTTCCGACCTTTCTTAGGTAACTTCTTCCGCTTCTTAATAGGATTCTGATCCTGGAGACAGATGGAGAAGTGAAGGAATAGCAGTGCATTTGCCAATTCTCCTGGTACTAAGCCCCACATACATCTGGCTGAAAACATGACAGTTACCTACCACTGCATCTTAGCCTTACCTCATCAAGATGAGTAGTTCCTCCCGTCAATGCACTGATGTCACTGAAGTGCGTGAGGGAATGAAGCTGTGAGCTCATAACACTTGCTCGTTTTCGTCGTCCTTTCTCTCGCTTACTGACACTTAAGCGCACCATCATGCTCTCCTCATAGTTAATCCTGTCAGAAAAAGACAGTTTCTAGCAGCTCACATAATTGTGACAGGAAGCTTTAAGCCAGAACCTGGGCCATGTTATTTATTCATACTTGTTCAGATGTCTCAAGATTTTTCATAGATCAACACAGTATTAAGTAAAGATGTGTGGAATTCTCAGTTGCAGGCTACCTCAGTGAAATGTTCTCTATGCTAGAATTACTTTCATCCTAAAGATGAACCCATGGCCCATCCGCATCTACAAAGTAGATCCCCTCAATGGGGATCTACTCAGAACCTGAGTAAAGTTAATTAATCTGAATTTAAGTTGGAGTCATTTTTTAACTTGCATTCTCCAACCTCAGTGCCATTACAAAAAACAACAAAACAAAAAACTGCCTTAGACAGGTGCCAGTGGCTTACAACTGTAATCCTAGCTACTCAGGAAGCTGAGTTCAGAAGATCGTGGTTCAAAGCTAGCCTACGGTAGAAAAGTCTGTGAGAACTCATCTCCAATTAACCACTAAAAAAAAGCCAGAAGTGGAGCTGTGGCTCAAGTGGTAGACTTGAAGAAAAAAGCTCAGTGACAGTGCCCAGACCTTAAGTTCAACACCCCACAACTAGCATGGGAGGGGTGTGTGTGGATAGAAGACACTCTCCCCTCAAAAAAAACCATCCTGCCTTTACTGTCTTCTGCACAAGGGAAAGTAGTGCTAATGAGATATAGACAACTAAAGCCCTACTATGTGGAAGTGAATATATTCTCCTCCACAATTTACTACAGCTTAAACAGATGGAGGGAACAAGAGTAACTTTTTTTCTCATTCTTATTCTGTACTTCAAACTCCAGTTTTTCACTCCACTTCCTATATAAAGTTAGTTTTCTTAGGACCAGATTTAATCATACTAATTCAAAGTGTAGGGAAGATTCTATATAGTGAAAATAATTTCTAACTGCAAGAGCTCAGACCTGTGCTGGTCCTCCTGACTCTGGCGAGTGACATGTGGATGACGAGTGTCACGGATTTCTTCTGGAGCATCTGAGTACTGCTCCTTGAGTTCACGAATGACAGAGCTACTCAATGCCCGCCTCTTGGCTCGTTCCAGGCGCTTTTTCTCCCGCTCAGCCTCTGTTTCATCTACGTGATAAAAAATCCAAAAGGGTTAGTCCAGAACAGAGAAAAGGAAAAGAACCACCCAACACCCACTGAGAGGGCAGCAGGCATACCATAATGTACTGGGACCAAGCGTGGTGGAACGTATTTCTTAGATGCTCCTTTTGCAGTTTTCTTCCCTGAAGCCTCAGACTGGCCAGCCTCTGTTTCATCATCCTCTTCATCCTCAGAACTCAACTACAGAAAAAAAGAAGTCTATAAATTTAGGAACTTCTAAGAAAAATACAAAGATAACCCAAAGCTGTGATACCCTGAGGAGATGAGAAGGCAAGTAAAAGGGAGAAAGGCAAGTCTCATACTAAAACATTCTAAGGCATAAGCTGGAAAATAAGGTCACAAAAGAATATAGAAGATCCAGGATCATTCAGGAAAAGCAGGATAATGCAACCCTTACCTTGCTCATCATATTGGTAGGATGGGGCTTAAAACGAAGTGGGTCATTCTCACCTGAAATACAAAACCCAAGACATTTTATAAGATTTGAAACTTTATGATGATACCACAACTTTATAATGTGTGCTTCCTACTTACTAAGACTGCCTGTCACTGCTGTCTTGACCAGTTTGTCAATCTGATACTTTAGTTTTTGGTCCAAGGGTCGAAGTTTTTCCAAAACCTATAATATGGCAATTGAGTAAGATTATTTACCTTTCCCAAATCAAGGATACACCAGTCCCTGTATAAAACATACACCAAAGAAACCCAAAGAAGAGAAAAAAATACTCTTTTCCACTTGTTTTTCTTATTTAAACATGAGTATATACACTCAGATGAAATCTACTGTGTGATACCTAGAGACCAGGATCTAAAAACTAGAGCTCCAGGACACCAAAAGGCTCTTACCGTGCGGATCTCCACCAGTCTCAAAACTGCAGCGTGTCCCTGAAGAGATACTCCAGAGGCTTTGTCAAGGATGAGATGGCTCAGATCCATAAGGTACATGAGCAGCAGCTGGTCTTTTACTTCTAAGAAGCTAAGACCCTGAGTTAAGCAAAACAATAGGAGACATAGATTCAGTTTTAGCCAAAGAATCCAGGAGGCATATAAACAGGATGTTTTCTTAAATTCAAGTTTTCCCCATCAGTCTACATAAACCTTAAGTACAGTATCCCTCCTTACTTACAGTCTTGCTTTCTGAAGTTTCAGTTACCTATAATCAACTGCAGGTCAAAAATACTAAATGTAAAGTTACTGAGATAACCAATTCATATTTAAAATTGTACACTGCTCTGTGTAGTGTGATGAAACCCTATGCCATCTTACCCATTCCACCTGAGATACTTAGTAGCCTTTTTCTAGTGTACCCACAAAGAGTATGCTACTTGCCTATTAAGTCACCTCATAGGCATCTAGAAACCACTCAACTAACTCTTACTACACTTAATAATGGCCCCAATATGCAAGAGCAGCGATGAAAATAAGGCACTAGGGCATAGAGCATGGAAGGACAGATTTAACTGCATATGATACAGGAAAAGAGAACATACACAAGCTATGGTATTATGTGCAATTCAAGCATTCACTGGAGAGGTGTCTTGAAATGTATCCCCCATGGATAAGAGGAGACTAGTATAGTCTCAAGAAGTAGCTATATCCAAAATAGTCAGAAGAGAAAATTATGCTAACACAGAGAAGTAAAGCTTAGAGAATTATTAGAAGATAGTGAAAGCAAGGAAATCAATAAAGTATCCCTCCCATAAAAACTATAACAAAGTTTCTCAAGCTCAGAGCTACTGATATCTAAGGCTAGATAATTCTTTGTTAAGAATTGTCCTGGTACAGGTTTACAGTAGGATTTCTAGCTTCAACGCACTGTTCACTCCCAAATTATAACAAAAAAAAAAGTCCATATACTGCCAAGTTTTAAGTTAATCAAAATAACATTGATTTTATCCCTATATGATGCAATTATATGAATAGGTATAAACAAGCAGTTTATGTATATATACATACACTGAAATAGAATTAAAATCCATGTCAGCAAAAACTGTAGAAAGTATCTATAATATGGTTTGAATTATAACACACAGTTTTATATTCATAGGGAAATGTCTGGGTGACAGCACACAAGTAACTACTAACCTGTTGGAGTGAGTCAAGGACAGGGAAGAAATAGAGTACCTATACCAAGAAAGTTTTCACAACAAAATACTTTACTCATAATTAAAAGGCTCCACAAATGTTGACTGTTGAAAACAGTGCTTTTATATAAGTTTCAAATTTTACAAAACTGAAATTGTAATAGAGGACTTGCAGCGTATCTTACTGGTAGCTTGTCTTTCATATGCAAGGTTCTATCTCATAACCTCAAAAAAATAAAAATAAAAACCCCAGAAGACCCCACAAAATTCTGCTTTGTATTGATAGGCAGAAAATCAAGCAAACGTCTTACAACATTTTTGTTGTTGTTGATCATGGGGCCTGGGCCTGGGCGCTGTCCCTCAGCTCTTCAGTTCAAAGGTAGCGTTCCACCACTGGAGTCACAGGGCCACTTCTGGTTTTCTGAGTGGTTTATTGGAGATAAGTCTCATGGACTTTCTACCCAGGCTGGCTCTGAACCATGATCCTCAGATTTCAGCCTCCTAAGTGCTAGGATTACAGGTGTGAGCCACCAGCACCCGGCACAAGTTAACTCTGTGTGTGTGTGTGTGTGTGTGTGTGTGTGTGTGTGTGTGTGTGTGTGTGTGTGTGTGTGTGTGTGTGTGTGTGTGTAACTGTGTGTGTGTAACTGTGTGTGTGTGTGTCCTGGGGTTTGAACTCAGGGCCTGGGTGCTGTTCCTGAGCTTTGTAGCTTGAGGCTAGCACTCTACCACTTGAACCATAGCACTACTTCTGGCTTTTTTTTGGGGGGGAGGGTAGTCCCCCAGGCTTTCCTACTCAGGCTGGCTTTGAATCATGATCCTTTTGATGATGATACCCAACCTCCTAAGTAGCTAGGATTACAGGTGTGAGCCACTAGCGCCCAGTTAAGTTAGTTTTTTGTGGTGTTTTTAGTTTGCTTGTTTTTTGGCTAGTCCTGGGGCTTGAACTCAGGGCCTGGGCACAGTCCCTGAGCTTCTTGCTCAAGGCTAGCATTCTACTGGAGCCACAGCTTTTTTCCAGCTTTTTCTGCTTATGTGGTATTAAGGTATTAAGGGCTTCCTGAAGGATAGGCAAGCATTCTACCACTAAGCTACATTCTCAGCCCCAGTATTTTTTTATATAAAATAGTGCATGTAGGAATGACTTAAGGTACAGTTAACAAATGAGTTTTGTGACTACACAAAATGAAACTGACCACACACACTGGGAAAACCTACACTTCGGCAAAGAGCTCTGGGCGCCAATGGCTAATATCTGTAACCCTAGTTACTCAGGAAGGTGAAATCTGAGGATTTAGGTCTGAAGCCCAGACAGAAAAATTCATGAAATTCTCATTTCCAATTAATCAGCAAAAAGCTTGGAAATGCTCTAGGGATAGAATGCCAGTCTTGAGTGATAAAATCATGGAAGACCTGAGTCCAAGCCCCAGTACTGGCACAAAAGTAGTAATAGGGGTTTAACTCAGTTTTACTTAAACACTTAAGCCTGTGTATCTTGACACCAACATTTGGCTCTTGTATCAGCCCTAGTGTGACTGAAGGATGGATTTAAAGACTATCAAGTTGACTTTCAATTCTAAACTACACATTTGATAGTCAAAGACTGAATCAGTCTTCTCATATGTAAAACATGTTTATTTCTTTCCAGCCCTAAAGAATAACTGTCACAAATAAGATATACGAAAGTACTTGTAACCTGAAAAGTATCTTGTCAAAGTCATTGGTCATAAAAGAAAAGTTAATTCAATGATGAAACACACAATATATGTACGTGTATTTTTACTGCAAACAGCAGTCAAAAAGATCACAGCAGGTCCATTACACACATTAGTTGATACAGAGAAATTTTCAGTCCCACATCATCAGTTGTGTTTAAAGTACTATGTGTTGCAAGTGTGCACAAATGTATTAACCAAAACATGATATTTTCAGGTAAGAATTCAAATGGTTTAATTCCTTAGAAAGGCTAACTCACAGTCCAAAAATGAATATCAGGTACTCAAAAGAGAGGGGACGACAAGGGGAGAGAAGAAGACAAAGAGAGAAGCGGTGTGTATGGTAGGGGAGAAGAACAGAGTCATAAAATTAAATCTTACAAAATTAAGAAAACTGAGGGAATGGGAGGGTTCAGAGGTATAGGGAAGAATGACAAAAGGGGTAATATAGATCAAGAAGCACTGTATTTATAAACTTTTGTGTTGAATGGTTAACTTTTCTGCACGATTAAAGATAATGAAAAAACTAAAATACTTTTAAAAAGCAAATAAGTTGTTGTGTGATCTGTTGAGTGTGTCCTTGCCCTTAATTCTGTGAAAATATGCCCCCCATAATGCAAATAATGGCCGAAAGCAAGGCAAGGTATAGTAATCCGTAAAAGCCCAAAAAGGTTTGTAATATTCATAACTCCAGTGATGAAATAAAAATCTGAGATTTGTTGAAAGGTGACAGGTCTTTAGTGAAAGTTGGATGGCACTATGGGAAAAATTAATTGAGCATCCACAGCATGTGAGATAAAGAGCATGAAATAAGATCTAGTTTTCAGTGAATAGTATTAATGTGTAGAACAGTAATTTTTTTTTGGGGGGGGGCGGTCCAGTCGTGGGGTCTGAACTCTGGGCCTGGGCGCTGTCCCTCAGCTCTTCAGCTCAAGGCTAGCACTCTACCACTTGAGCCACAGCGCCACTTCCGGCTTTTTTCTTTTTGCTTATGTGGTGCTGAGGAATTGAACCCAGGCCCTCATGCATGCAAGGCAAGCACTCTACCACTGAGCCACCTTCCCAGCCCCTAGAACAGTAATTTTTGTGACACTAATATAGTCTAAATCCATGTGGTTTCAAGTTATAAATACTCAAGCCTACTGTACTTACAATATAGGTAAATTTGGTTAATTTTAGAGTATTGAACTCTACGCATCTCAAGCACTAAATTGTCTGTCCTTAGCAGCCATCTCCTTGGAACAAACACCTACATATACCAAGGATCTACTCAGTGATCCAATAAGCATTCTAGAAGCCAAACACTGAAATGGATCAAAGTACCATGGCCAGTACACAGACAGATAAGTATGCTTTCTGACATCTTGGGCATTGTCAATTCAAACTGGATTACAATATGAGAAAAACAAACTGAACAGAAAAAATAAACATATGCAATAAGAACAAAAGTGAAAGATTACTGAATTCCCTATTTTATTTACTTATGAGAATGTTGTTTAAACGTTATCTAAGATGCATCATTTTCATAACCAACATCTCTGAAACTGGATTGTATCTTTTAGTCAGAGACAACTTAGCACAATGTCACAAATAAACAGCACTTTTCTTTCCTTTTTCTTTTTTGTCAGTTGTGGGGCTTGAACTCTGGGCACTGACCCTCAGCTCTTCAGCTCAAGGCAAGCATTCTACCACTTGAGCCACAGCACCACTTCTGGTTTTATGGTAGTTTACTGGAGATGAGTGTCACTGAGCTTCTTGCCAGGGCTGGCAAGAAACTTGCCCAGCAACAGCATTTTTCGTAACAGGGTAATCCCTTTCCCTTATACGTAACAGACACATTCCAAAACTCCCAGTGAATGCCTGCAATGATGACAGAATCAATTTCTATACATGCTATGTTTCTTTCAATGCATACATACCAATTATAAATTTTAATTTATGCCCGGCGCTGGTGGCTCACGCCTGTAATCCTAGCTACTCAAGAGGCTGAGATCTGAGGATTGCGGTTCAAAGCCAGCCCAGGCAGGATGAGACTCTTATCTCCAATAAACAACTAGAAAACCGGAAGTGGTGCTGTGGCTCAAGCAGTAGAGTGCTCACCTTGAGCTGAAGAGTGCAGGGACAGCGCCCAAGCCCAGAGTTCAAGCCCCATGACCGACCAAAAAATAAATAAATAAATTTTAATTTATATATCTAGGACAGTAAGAGATTAGTAACAATAACTAATAACAGAATAATCATAGAATACAAATTATTTGGTAAGTTATTTGGTATGTGTGAAGTATGTCTAAAATTTACCACTTGTGTTTTCAGACTAATTAATGTCAGGTAATGCAATCAGTGAAACTGCAGGTAAGAAGGAATTACTGTATAAAAATAAATAGTATGCTCTAGCATGCCTTAGATTAGATAAACACAATAATAACTCCTTAAGGGGTAGTCTATAAGGTTTATCACATTTTAGTTTTCCAGTCTAACTTCCTATGGCTTTTACACATTCATCACAAAAACTACTTAACCTCCTTCCTCAGAACATCATCATGATGTTTTCTGACTCTGTAACTTTTCACATGCAGTTTCTTTTACACCTCTGGCTCCTATTTAGTCTTCAAAACCCTGTTACTCCTCTGAGAAGTCATAGAACATGACTCCCTCTGCAGCTCTGGCACCTAACCTCACTCCATGCCTGGCATAGCATTCTTCATGACTCTTTAAGGTGACTGTTGCTTCCCAAAGCTATTACTTTTATCTGTCTCTCCACTCAACTCCAGCACAGAAACTATGCTCTACTTATCTATAAAGCTCTAGCACTTTGGACACAATACATAATAAGTCTATGATGAAAGAACTACGGAGAACACAATGTCAAGAAATATTCTTCAAATACACATTACCTTCTCTGTAGGATAGGCTCCACCTTGAACTTTTTTTGTTAGTGTTTGTACTTGTGCAGTTACAGCCATCACCTGAGATTAGAAAGGAAAAAAAAAAGCGGAAGGCATGGGTGAAGTAGTTGAGCACTTGCCCAGCAAGGATACAGCCCTGAGTTCAAGCCTCAGTACCATTAAAATAAAACAAATTTTAAAATATTCAGGTTTAAAAACAACAGCAGAAAATAGCCGACTAAGCCAAATCAAGTCCTATCTGTAAACTATGAAGGAAAGGGCTAAACGATGCCACCTAAAAATTATCTGACACATTGTCACTAAAGGGTAATGACTTTATTCAGTTCTGAGAAACTACAGGAGGAATAGTTTCTGACAGTTCAAGAGGTAAACAAAACTACAATTCTGCCCAAACCTGGGGGAGGGAGCAGGAAGGGAGAGGAGAAACAGAGACAGAGGAGAAACACTTTCACCAAACCACTGGGAAGAAGAATGAACAGTGTTCATGAAAGGGCTGTGACTTTATACAGATTGAACCTACAATACACTGAAATATATAAATGTGGGCACTCAAAATGCACAGCACTGTTTTCCTTCTAAGAACTGGTGACTGGTTTCTTTATAAGTTTTCTGCACTTACCGGGGAGCAAAATCAATTACTTAGAATGGTTTTACACTTACAGTACCCGATACCACTAAAAGTCTAGCAGTGAGGCATATAAAGGCATATAAAGTCTATTCCAAAGGAGAGGGCATTACTTACCTGCTCCTGGAGGCTTTTCAAAAGTGTCACTGCACTTGGAACATCTGATTCCAGAACCCCCTACATAAAGGAGAAGATAGGAAAGTCAGTCTTCAATGAAGGCGATGAGCAGCGGAAGATGTTGGGCAAAAAGCTCCCAAATCTCCTTCCAACCCCCAGCGGCTTCCTCTCAAAAGCCAGCCTCCGGGGTTACCAGAAAGCAGCCCTAACTCCACGGAGTGGAGATCACAGCGCTGAGCAAATTGTCCATCACCGCCCTTTCCTAATGCCAGTAATTTCTCTCGAATCGCTGTAAGGAAAGAAAATATGCATACTAGCCGCGAGGGGAAGAAACCACATTACACTCACCGGCGCCGCCATCTTTACAACTGATGCACCTTCCGGTTTCGTATTTCCTGAGCGCCAAAGACGTGATAGATTTGATAGACAGCTACCGCTGGCAAATTTAAGCCAATAGGATTCACGGCTCATTCACTTCCGCCCCGAACAGGATGGAAGGGAGGCGGGTCCTCATTTGGCCAATGGAATAAAGGAATTGGTTAAATTCGTCTGGCTTAGGAGGCAATGTAATGAGGAAATGATAGTCTTGGACGGCGGAGAAGGATTGACGCGAAACCAATAAGAGCGATCAGATGGTTGATTCACAGTCAGAAGGCCCAATTGGGAAAGGGGAGTTAACTGAGCAACGTGAGAGCTTATTGGCTCCCGAATGCCGCAGTCCGTGCCAGTTGTTCCACCCACCACCCACCCCACCCCCGCCTCGCTATTTTCCTGCAGTGCCCCAATCCACCGCTAGGTGACGGACGTCCGTTTCTTCGTGTTGCGGCCACGTTGCGGAGCCGCCATTGCCCGCGGCACCTTCAAGCCTGGGATTGGTCTGTGACAGTCCTTGTGTGATCTTGGCCAGGTCTTTCGGTTTCTGATCCGTGAATAGGAGAACTGGGTGTGAGAAGCCCAGATCCAGATTTAGAGGCTGGTTGGGAGGACACCGACTTCTGTGGGCTGGCCGCCGCAGCTCGCCCACCCCGACTCCTGTCAGCTTGGGGGTTTCAGGTGGCCTCACCTGTGCCGCAGGTTCGGGCAAAACTTGGTTTAAACCTAGGTTGTACATATTTCTGATATTCCCATCATACTGTCAGCTCACTCTCACTGTCAGCTCACATCAAACGTGTCAGCTCACTCTCTTCTACGCTTGTAAAGCCAGTTGAATACTGTTCCCATCAATTGCATTAGGAAATAAAACACTAAAAGGCAGATAGTGTTTCAGATTTCTCCCACAGTGGCTTGGAAATCAAATATGATTAGGAGCTATCTTCATGTAGTAAGGAAAAAAAAATAGCCCCCTTACATTACAACCCTTCCCACCTAGTCAATTAACAAGTAGCTTTTTTTTTTTTTAATGTGCTGGTAGTGTGGCTTGAACTCAGGGCCTGGGCACTGTCCCTGAGCCAATTTTTATGTGGTAGGATAAGCAATAAGAGAATCATCAAAACCGGACACCGCGACTCATGCCTGTAATCCTAGCTACTCAGGAGGCTAAGATCTGAGGATAATGGTCAAAGCCACCCCGGGCAGGAAAGTCTGTGAGACCTCCAATAAACCACGAGGAAATTGGAAGTGGCGCTGGGGCTCAAGTGGTAGAATATTTACCTTGAGCTGAAGAGCTGAGGGACAGCGCCCAGAGTTCAAGCCCCACAACCGACAAAAAAAAAAAGAAAAGGGAACATCAGGGCTTTTTTTGTTTGTTTGTTTTGATTTTTAAATTTATTTATTTTTGGTGCTGGTCCTGGAGCTTGAATTCAGGGCCTGGGCTCAGTTCCTGAGATTCTTTTGCTCAAGGCTAGCGCTCTACCACTTGAACCACAGCTCCACTTTTGGCTTTTTCTGAGTAATTTATTGGCAATTAGAGTCTCAGAGGACTTTCTTGCCCAGGTTGGCTTCTAATCTGAGTCCTCAAATCTCAGTCTTCTGAGTAGCTAGGATTATAGGTATAAACCACTAGCACCTGGCTAAAGTTCTTTTTTTTGGGGGGGGGGGGGGTGTTCCAGTCGTGGGGCCTGAACTCTGGGCCTGGGCACTGTCCCTCAGCTCTTCAGCATAAGGCTAGCAGGCTACCACTTGAGCCACGCACCACTTCCGGCTTTTTTCTTTTTGCTTATGTGGTATTGAGGAATTTTTCTTTTTGCTTATGTGGTATTGAGGAATCGAACCCAGGACCTCATGCATGCAAGGCAAGCGCTCTACCACTGAGCCAGCTTCCCAGCCCCAGTTCTTTTTTTTTTTAATTCAATAAATTTATGCTTTTAACCTAACTTTACTGGAGCTCTATCCATTTTTGACAGAAATTATAATTTTCATGTCTTGAAAAAATTATGCCATGAATTTGCTTTTTGGAGAAGTCATAAATTGGCAGCATTTCTCTATAAATTTGGAAGTCATTTGCAACCCCTAAAGTATTTATTGGGCAGTGTTTCCTATGTTGCATAGTTCAGCTAAAGCTAAAGAAAAGTACTTGTACTTGGTGCCAGTGGCCTCTAATCCTAGCTACTGAGGAGGCTGAGAGCTGAGGACCATGGTTTGAAGCCAGCCCAGGCAGACTCATCTCCAATTACAGAAAAAGCTGCAAGTGGCGCTTTGACTAGCCTTGAGCAAAAGGAGCTCAGGGACAGCATCCAGGCCATTTAAGCCCAGGACTGGCCAAAAAAAAAAAATCCTTTTAGCAAACAGACCTGGTGGCTCAAGCCTGTAATCCTAGCTACTTGGGAAGTCAACAATCAAGGGATTATTGTTTCAGACTAATTCACAACAATAAAACTTCACAAAACTCCATCTCAACCAATGGCTGGGCATAGTGATATACTCTTGTTATCCCAGCTACAAGGAAAGCACATGACTGGGCACAGTTGTCTGTCATTCCCAGAGATACAAGAAAGTACAAGTAGGAGTATCTCAACCCATACCAAACCAGGCATAGAGATCTTGCCTCAAAAATAATAAATACAAAAAGGGACTGGAAAAAATGCCTAATAAGCATGAAACCCTGATTTCCCAGTTTTTAAAAAAAATTCTTTTTAGCATTTTCCTCCAATTTTCTGTTAAACTTTCTGTAACCATAGTAATAGATTCTTCTAGGTGCTACCACATCTAGTTTGGTTTCCTTTTAGTACAAAAATCTAAGTCATTTGATAAATAAAAATTACCATTTCAGGCTGGGGCACATGCTTGTAATCCCAGCACTCAGAAGGCAGAGACAGGCAGATTTGAGGCCAGTCTAGACTACATAGTGAGTCCTTTTCTCAAAAACAATACCACACACAAAAAAAATTTACAAGCTCAGATCCTGTTTAAGTTTGTCCAGTCCAGACAAAATGCAAGACCTTATTCCAAACAATCAGAGCAAGCCAGGGAACAGTAGTAGCTCACACCTATAATCCTAGCTACCTAGGAGGCTAAGATCTGAGGATCAAAGTTCAAAGCCAGCTTGGGGAAGAAGAGTCCATGAGACTCTTATCTCCACTTAACCAGCAAAAAGCTGGAAGTGGCTCAAGTGGTAGAGCACAGCCTTGAGCAAAAAGCTCAGGGACAGTGTCTTAAGTTCAAGCCCCAGGACCAGCGCACACACACACACACACACACACACACACACACACACACATCATCATCATCATCATCATCATCATCATCATCTCATCATCATCATCATCATAATCAGCAAAAATGGTTCAAGAGAGGGGTATGTATGAAGCCCTGAGTTCAAAAATCAGTAGCAATCCATCAAATATTTTTATTGTCCAGCTTTTGTTTTTTTTGTCAGTCATGGGGCTTGAACTCTGGGCCTGCATGCTGTCCCTCAGCTCTTCAGCTCAAGGTTAGTGCTCTACCACTTGAGCTACAGCACCACTTCTGGTTTTCTGAGTGTTTATTGGAGATAAGAGTTTCACAGACTTTCCTACCTGGACTGGCTTTGAACCACGATCCTCAGATCTCAGCCTCCTGAGTAGCTAGGATTACAGGCGTGAGCCACCAGCGCCCAGCTATTGTCCAGCTTTTTAAAACAGAGTCTGAGTGGGCCTTCCACAAAACTGGTACTTGGTCAATATTGGTGGAATGAATTTCTTAGGTATGGTGAGGGATGTTCCTATTAGCCTTTGTCATGTCTATTAACAATCAGCGTGGAAGCAGCTGGGACCTGAGATGGGTAGATCCTTGCTGAGATTGGAAGACTAAACCAGCCTGGTAGTAGAACAGAAGAAGCCCATTAGTAAAGCAGTCACATTTAAGAAGGTGTTCTAATAGAAGATAACAGAATAGGTTTGTAAAGCTAACCCAGTAAGTAGTAGTAATAATAGTCATTAGTACTCCTTATTTACTATTCACTATTAGTTGTTTGTCTCTGCCTATAATGATGTATATATCCTCAACATAAGCATTTCTTTCCATGTTTTACAGATAAGGACAAAGCAAGATCTTCCTGGTTCCACAGCTGCTCGTTCATTCCATATGAATGCCCCTAAAACTTTAGTATATACTATGTCACTAGGAGGTCTTTTTTGACAATGTTTCAGTAGGCCTAGCTACCGCATTTCTAACAAGTTGAAGCTATGCTGCCAGTCTATAGACAGTGCTTTGAGTTCTAAGACTGTATATACTGTACTGTACTCTTTGTATGTGTACACATGCCAGTCCCGGGGCTTGAACTCAGGGCCTGGACACTATCCCTAAGTTTTTTGCTCAAATCTGTACCCTACCACATGAGCCACAGCTCCACTTCCCACTTTTTTTTTTTTTTTGGAAGTTTGTTGGAGGTAACTTCTTACATGGGCTGGCTTCCAACCATGATCTTTAGATCTCAGCCTCTTGAGAGCAAGGATTAAAGGCATGAGCCACCAGTGCCCAGCTGTACTGTACTTTTATTTTCTCTTTTCCTCAGAATTTAAGTAACCCACCTAGGTCACATAGCTGTTTCATGGGAGGAACTAGGATTTATGTCTGTGTTGTATGTATGTGGGGGTGCATGCTCTAGTTCCAGAGCTTGAACTCAGGGCCAAGGCACTCTCCTTTAGTTTTTTCAAGACTGGTGCTCTACCACTTGAGCCACACCTTCAACTTTCAGATTTTTGCTGGTTAATTGGAGCTATAAATCTTTTTTTTTTTTTGGGGGGGGGGTCCGGTCGTGGGGCCTGAACTCTGGGCCTGGGCACTGTCCCTCAGCATTTCAGCTCAAGGCTAGCGCTCTACCACTTAAGCCACAGCGCCACTTCCAGCTTTTTTCTTTTTTGCTTATGTGGTGCTGAGGAATCGAACCCAGGACCTCGAGCATGCAAGGCAAGCGCTCTACCACTGAGCCACCTTCCCAGCCCCGGAGATATAAATCTTGAAAACTTTTCTGCCTCAGATCCTTCAATCTCAGCCTCCTGAGTTGTTAGGATTACAGATGTGAACCAGGTAGGAGCCAGGATTTTTTAATTCAGATCTGTTTGATTCCCAAATCTATTTTCATAGGCTTAGTATATGCTGTGCTTCTATGAGCAGGAAACAGGCTTCCATGCTAGGGCTTAGGAGAAAACTCTAATCTATGAGAAGTAGACAGGAGCCATAAGTACTAAGAAGTTTACCAACGGCCTCTGGAAGAGGACTCAGTTACCAGACTGTGGTATAGGATAAGTAAAACCTTAGGAACAAGATAGAAGCTGGATTTCCACAACTAGGGTGCACTGGTATGGGTAGCTTGAGTTGAGACTCCCAAGTGTGCACCAGAGGCTACTAGATCTCTCTTTCTTGGGCCTGACAGGGGGCTAATGACTTGCAAGACTAGCCCTGCAATTGTGAGGAGAGGAGGACATGGGGACTGAGAGTCAGCTACTTCATGCTCTCCTCCCTATGATCCCCAGCACTGCCCAGAGAAAGAGAAGCCAGGCCTCCTTACCTTCAATCTCTTGATTTCCTCCCACCCTCAGTCCTCCACTTCCTGCTTACACAACTGAATTATTCTGTATCTCAGGCCCTTATAGATCTTTCAGGATTCATGGTAATGGTTTTATATTTCTCTTTTTCTTTTTTCCCATCCTGCCTTGTTCCCTTGGATTGGCCAGAGCATAGAATGGATCTCTGGGAAGATACAGAGATCAGAGGAGCTAATACTGGCTCAGTGTGGGACATGCAGTGGGTAGGCACACTGAGCAGGAGGACACAGACAGCAGGCTGCTACTGATGTTTCTGGTCTCGTGCTGTCACATCAGGAATCCAGCCACCCATGATGCACCAGCTGTCAGCTCCAGGGCTGCTTTGGAGTCAGTGACTATATTAGGATCTTACTCAGAACTTTTGATTGGCTTTTGGCTAAAGGCCACTTCAGAAGTTCCATAACAAAGGACAGGTACAAATGTGTGACCTTTGCAATAAGTTACAAAGATAACAATGATCAGATAAATTTTTGAGTGTGAAAAGAATATTTCAGAATTGATTTTTGCCAAAGAAATGGTCATATATTGTTATATCAATATTACAGTCATAAAAGAACTCTTTTTTTTTTTTTTTTGGTCTTGGGGCTTAAACTCAGGACCTGGGTGCTGTCCCTAAGCTCTTTTACTCGAGGCTAGTGCTCTGCCACTTTGAACCAAAGCTCCACTTCTAGTTTTCTGGTGGTTAATCGGAGATAAAAGTCTCACAGAATTTCCTGCCAGGGCTGGCTTTGAGCTGCAATCCTCAGGTCTCAGGCATAAACCACTAGTGCCTGGCTAAAGAAAGTCTTTTTCCACAAACAGGAACAAGGGCTGATTCAGGAAAAAAAAAAAAAAAAAGGTATTGCTGGCATCTTCTTATCCATTTTGGCCTCTTTGATTCATTTATAATAATAATTATACTACTACTAATTATTATTAGTAGTAGTAGTAGTCGTAGTAGTATTTTGGTGGCACTAGGGATTGAAGTCAGGGCCTTGAAGTTCTAAGCAAGTAAGTGCTCTACTATTCGAATCAGACCTCTCAAGTCATTTTGCTATTAGCTTGTTTTTCAGCTCTGGTCTTATGCAGGGGGGTGTTTTGTTTTGGTTTTGTTTTATATGCTGGTACTCGGGGCTTGGAAGCTGGCCTTTAGTCTTTTCACTAAAGGCTGGCGCTCTACCACTTGAACCACAGCTCCACTACTAGCTTTTTGGTGGTTAATTGTAATTCAGAGTCTTATGAACATTTCTGCTTGGATTGCTTGAATTCCAAACCTCAAACCTCTGCCTCCTGAATAGATAGAATTACAGTCTTGAGCAAGTGGAACCCAGCAAGTTTCATGCTTTTATCCAAGTCAGCCTCTGACTGCAATCTTCCCACCTGTGTCACCAAAGTAGTTGGGTCACAAGTGTGTGCCACCATTGTGCCCATCTTGTTTTTGATATAGGGTCTTGCTACCTTTTTTTTTTTTTTTTTTGCAGTAGTAGACTTTGAACTCATGGCCTTGAGCTTGCTAGGCAGAAAATCTATCCCTTGTGCCATGCTGCAACCCTTTTGTTCTTTTTTTTTGCTGGTCATGGAGCCTGAACTCTGGGCCTGGGCGCTGTCCCTCAGCTCTTCAGCTCAAGGCTAGTGCTCTACCACTTGAGCGACAGAGCCACTTCCAGCTTTTTTCTTTTTTGCTTATGTAGTGCTAAGGAATCGAACCCAGGGCCTCATGCATGCGAGGCAAGCGCTCTACCACTGAGCCACCTTCCCAGCCCATTTTTTGTTCTTTTTTGAAAGTTGCTTACTATTGAATCTCTGGATTTTCTGGCATCTGTTCAAATTCAGGTCACTTGAAGAGATCCCCTTGGAATAAAAATGCCATAAAAACCCAAATTATCACTCAATATTTTTTCTTTTAAAATCCCAACGTGTATTCTATGTGCACACGTAAAAAACTAACAAGATAGATGCATTTCAATTATTAGCTATAGTCACTTCTGGGATGAGATTAAAAAGGCCTCTACTTGTTTTTATCTTTTGTTGTTTGAATTTTTAAATGATTTGATGAAAAGTAGAGAAGGAACAAAGGAAGGAGGAAGAAAGGAAAGGATGAGGGAGGAAGATTTAGAGAGAAGGAAAGAGGAGGACAAAGAGAGAGAAAGAAAGCAAGCTACATTCATTCTTCTCCCTCTCCCTGAATAAGCTCTGAGGAATCTCATCTATGTCCTTTCCTGCAAGAGCAATTGGAGCCATCAGAGGAACAGCAGCTGCTCACTCTGTTTGGTACATTATTCATCATGCATTTATTTTATGTAGATTTGTCACAGTCAAAGAGCTCAAGATAAAAATATGCACGATAGCTTTAGGTCATTAAAAAAATCAAAACATTGGACAGCTTGGCATTGGTAGTTCGCACTTGTAATCCTAGCTACTCAGGAAGCTGAGATTTGAGGATCACAGTTCAAAGCCAGCCCAGGCAGAAAAGTCCATGAGATGGAAGTTTTTCAAGTAGTAGAGTGCCAACCTTGAGTGAAAAAGTTAATGGACAGAGTGCAGGCTCTGAGGTCACGCCCCAGTAACATTTTTTAAAAATGGGATAGAAAAAGAAAAATGAATTTAGGGAGACTGAATTTAGGGAAACAGAAGGCAAGAGGGAGGCCTAGGGAAAAACAAAAGGAACAAACTGATCAAGAAAGAAATAGAAATAGAAATAGACTCCACCCTACTTAGGGAACACAGGAGCCTTGCTTAAATTTATGGCGACCTTGTCCCCAGAGGCTGGGCCACAAGAGAACAGGGTATTACCATCTCTAGGTCTTCCTTATCCAGAATACTCACAGCGTTGGCCAACAATAGTGAATGTGGATCCTCAAGGTTCTAAGGTTCAAGACCCACCTCCAAGCTTATCTGTCCCGGAAGTCTTCCCTTTCTTTCTCCTTCCCCTTCCCTTCCCTTCTACTGAATTGCTCAGCTTTTCAGTTATTTTTACACATGTTAACTAATGTCACTCTGTACCTTGTTATCACATTATTTTATTTTACTTTTTATGGGGGGGGGGTCAGGTGGGGTGGGATTAAGGAAGGCTGGCATTCTACCAGTTGAGCCATACCTTCATTTCTGGCTTTTGACTGGTTAATTGGAGATAAGAGTCTTTCAATTTAATCTGCCTGGGCTGGCTTCAAACTTTCATCCTCAGATCTCAGCCTCCTGAGTGGCTAGGATTACAGGTATGAGCTAGCAGAACCTGGCTTATTTTATGAACCTGAAAAGTTTGACCATAGGCCTTGGCCTATCTGTACCCTTCTTCATACCTGGATGCTGCTACATCTACAAGAGGTGTCCAGTGACCTTCCATGTCCTTCCCCCCACCTCTCCTTGCTCTTGTCTGGTGACATTGCCCAGAAACCAGAAGGGCCACCCTTAGCAGATGAGCACACAGGCATGACAGTCTAATTCTAGCCAAGGGCATGGGGGGAAAGGACAGGGCCCAGGGACCTGCGGCCTCTCCACTGAGCGGACTCAGGGCTAATAATAGGAGGAGAGATTAGGGAAGGATTTGAATTGCATTGTTATCTCACATGGTGTTCAAGAGCCTTTTTCCAGGCTCTTCCAAGAGATGTGCTACCCTCTCTGCCCTGTATGGCTGTAGGAGTTTGGTGCCTCTTGCCACCAATTTTTCCTTTATCCACTCCCTGATGTCAACTCCTCTCTGTTTCCTCACTTTCTCCCTGTCCTTTCTGAATATTCCCTATCCTTTCCTGCCCCCCACACCCCGTGTTCTGGTGGCCTGCATCCACTTCTGTACTTCTCTGCCTTAATTCACTTTCTTCCACCATTTCCCACAAGTCCTGCCACATGTGATATTCTTTTTTTTTTTTTTGGGGGGGGGGGTCCGGTCATGGGGCCTGAACTCTGGGCCTGGGCGCTGTCCCTCAGCTCTTCAGCTCAAGGCTAGCGCTCTACCACTTGAGCCACAGCGCCACTTCCAGCTTTTTTTTCTGCTTATGTGGTGCTGAGGAATCGAACCCAGGACCTCATGCATGCAAGGCAAGCGCTCTACCACTGAGCCACCTTCCCAGCCCTACATGTGATATTCTTTGTCCCACCTCTTACTATCTTCAGTTTCAGGCTTCAGATTTGCTTTCCAGGCTTGTGGCCTTGGTCTCTCCCCAGTACTAACACACTTGAGCCAGTGTTGTGCACACGTTTTCCTGTCTTTGTGACTGCATTCTTTCACATCTGAGCTGGACAAACAGGTAGCAGAGGCTGAGAAGGGGAACAGTGGCCTGCTGACCTCTCCTCCCCCAACAACTAGCTATCAGCATCATAGACACCAGGCATAGGAACACTTCTGAGAACAAGTCCTGGGACATGGCAGGCTGTAGGAGGCACCTCCTGGAGCTTAGCCATAGCTATTCTTAGGATCCCAGCACCACAAAAGGGCCTTTGCTTTGTTTCACTCCACCCCCATGGAGCAGCTCTTGGCAGCCAAGACTGTAATCTCCAAGACCAGGGGCCCAGCACGGGGAGGCCTGGTTGGAATCTGTGCCCCCTACTATGGCTTCTCTCCATCATGAAGCTCTGCCCTTGGGCAAGGTCACCTCCCCTACAATACATCTGGAGCTCTGATACCCTTTCTGTTGTCTGGGTCTATTCAAACCACTGCCTTTGATCCCACAGTGAGACCTTGCTCTGCCAGTCCTACCCTTGCTACTCTGTAGACCTCCTCATCCTCCTCTCTTTCAGGTTCCCAAGGGACCTCTTCCTGACCCTTCACGCCCAACAAGCCAGCCACTGCACCCTCCAGCTCCCTTCCTATTTCCTGCTCTTTTAACCTAGTAAAATCAGAGCCCTTTGACAAAGGCCCTTCATATTTTACTGCGGATGGGGAAGACACCCACACGAGTCCCTTCAGACTTCACAAAGTTTGCCCAGCTCTCTGTCCTTCATCTGGCCACAAGCCAGAAGGTCTTGTGGCCCTCAGGCTGCCCACTAATCTTTTTTTTCTTTTTCTCCTTCCTCCCTTCCTTCCTTCCTTCCTTCCTTCCTTCCTTCCTTCCTTCCTTCCTTCCTTCTTTCTCTCCCTTTCTTTCTTTTCTTTCTTTCTTTTTTTTTTTTTTTGGGGTCCGGTCGTGGGGCCTGAACTCTGGGTCTGGGCGCTGGCCCTCAGCTCTTCAGCTCAAGGCTAGAGCTCTACCACTTGAGCCACAGCGAAACTTCCGGCTTTTTTCTTTTTGCTTATATGGTGCTGAAGAATCGAACCCAGGGCCTCAGGCTTGCAAGGCAAGCGCTCTACCACTGAGCCACCTTCCCAGCCTCCTTCTTTCTTTCCTTCTTTCCTTCTTTCCGTGTCCATTTGGGGCTTAAACTGAGAGCCTTGGCCCTGTCCCTTAGCTTTTTCACTCAAGGCTACCCTCAGCTCCATCTCTGGATTTTCAGTTGTTAACTGGACATGAATCTCACAGACTTGTTTGCTCTGGCTGGCTTCAAACCTCCATCCTCAGTGTTCAGCCTCCAGAGTAGCTAGGATAACTGGTGTGAGCCACCAGCACCCGGCTGTCCACGAATTCTGAAAGGCTCCCTATGAGGACAGCAGCAGCAGTCCCCAAGGACCCTCAGCTTCAAATGACTTTGAGGGTCTCAGACCAGGAGGTGGCTCTCTACCCTCACTTGCATGGCACCCAGAAGAGCCTGCATAATATGTGTGTTTGTTGACTAACCAGGTTCTAGTTTTTGTGGACAGTTCTGGATACATGTAGTGAAGAGCTGGAATGATAGTTGTCTATGGAGGCAGGGTTTAAACACTAGAGGCAGGGAAGCTCCATGCCCCTTGGCATCAAAGGAACATCAGAGAAAAATCAACATTCTACCAACCTCTTGGAAATCCCAGCAAGAGTCCTGCCACCCAGAGACTAGGAAGTTGTCCCCAGCCCAGGTTATGGGTTAGACCTATAGAGTCTCACATACTTTCAAACCAGGAACTTCATCTTTCTAGGATAAAAATACAAACAGTGAGGTATCAGCAGGTAGAAGACTGAGTTACCAGACATAATTTATATTCCAGATCTCTCCCTAGGGTTGGCTACTCACTAGGTGCTGGTGGCTCACACCTCATATTCTAGTTACTCAGGTTGAGATCTGAAGATCATAATTTGAAGCCAGCCAGAGCAGGAAAATCCATGAGACTCTTATCTCCAATTAACTACCCCAAAAGCAGGAAGGGCAATTGTGGCTCAGACATGCTAGAGCACTAGTCATGAGTAGAAAAACTAAGAGACAATGTGCCTAGACCCTGAGTTCAAGCCCCACTACTAACACACACACACACACACACACACACACACACACACACACACACACACACACCCCTACAATCTGTGTACTTCTTAGAACTGGTTATACTCTCTGCCCTCCAGCCTGACTTTAGACCTCATACTAGAGACCTTAGGAATCTGAGACTCCTCTCAGGTGATAAATGAGGACCAAAGATTGAAGGCTGTGGCTGCAGCAAGCTCTGGTCCCTGCAGGTGAAGCTAGAGATGGATGAGTAGGGAGCCAGGCAAGCCCCTGGCCTGCAAGTCTACCTTACAGCGGTAGGAACCCCAGGTTCCTACCAGGTATTCCCAAACCACCCTTTAGACTTCCAGAAAGAGAAATGGAAGAAAGAAAACAGAACCAGAAAATGTAAAAAACAAGGACATCTTTTATCATCCATTACAAGCTCAGAATTGCTCTATCTTAAAAACAACCCAAAGCTGGCACTGGTGGCTAATACCTGTAATCCTAGCTACTCAGGAGGCTGAGACTTTAGGATTACAGTTCAAAGCCAGCTGAAGCAGGGGCAGGAAATCCTATAAGACTCTCTCTAGGGCTAGGAAGGTGGCTCAGTGGTAGAGTGCTTGCCTTGCATGCGTGAGGCCCTGGGTTCGATTCCTCAGCACCACATAAGCAGAAAAAGCTGGAAGTGGTGCTGTGGCTCAAGTGGTAGAGCACTAGCCTTGAGCTGAAGAGCTGAGGGACAGTGCCCAGGTCCAGAGTTCAGGCCCCACAACTGGCAAAAAAAAAAAAACCAAAAAAACAAAACCTCTCTCTCTCTCTCTCTCTCTCTCTCTCTCTCTCTCTCTCTCTCTCTCTCTCTCTCTCTTCCTATCTTTCGTGGGGTTTGAATTCAGGGCCTAGGTGCTGTCCCTGAGCTATTTTTCTCAAGGCTAGCATTCTACCACTTTGAGCCACAGCTCCACTTCTGGTTTTCTGATGATTAATTGGAGGTAAGAGTCTCACAGACTTTCATACCCCAGCTAGCTTTGAACTGCTGGAGCACCTGGCTCGTGAGAATCTTGTATCCAACTAAATACTAAAAAATCTTTAAATGGAGCTGTAACTCAAGTTTGTTTGTTTGTTAACCCTGAGTTCAAACTCCAGATCCATCCACTTTCCCTCCACAAAACCAAACAAAACAGAGCTCCACGGCCAGCTTCCCTTTTGGTAGTTGTCTAATCTCTTTCATTCTGCCTCCAAACTTCTCAAATGCATGGTACACACCCACTGCCTAGTCATTTTTTTTAACTCATTTCCACTCAGCTTAATTCCATACTTCCTTTTCTTAATTAACAGCTTAGCTTTGACCTGAAACTCTCTAGAAGCTGCTTGCTCCAAGATTACCCACATTCTCTTCTCTATCTTCCTGATACTTGGTCTTTCTTTGGAATCTGACACCATTGGCCACCTGCTCCTCTTGAAATACTTCTAATGACTTCTAGGAAACTTCCCTTTTCTCTATCTCCTTGGCTTTTGAGTGGCTATCTCTATTTTCTGTAGGCTTCTCTCTCTCTCTCTCTGGTGGGGGTGGGTACTGGGTTCTGTCTCTTAGCTTTTTTTTTTTTTTTTTTTAAGACTTATCTATTTATTTTTTATTTTATTTTTTCCAGTCCTGAGGCATGAACTCAGGGCCTGGGCACTGTCTCTGAGCTTCTTTTTGCTCAAGGCTAGCACTCAACCACTTGAGCTACAGTGCCATTTCCGACTTTTTCTGTTTATGTGGTGCTGAGGAATTGAACCCAGGGCTTCCTTCATACATGCTAAGCAAGCACTCTACCACTAAGCCGCATTCCCAGCCCTGTCTCTTAGCTTTTATAATTGAGGCTAGCACTGTACTTGAGCTGCATCTCCACTTTCAGGTTTTTGCTGGCCAATTGGAGATAAGAATCTCCCAGATTTTTCTGCTTGAGTTGGTTTCAAATTTTGATCCTCAGCCTCCCAAATAGCTAGTATTATTACAGGTGTGAGCTACCAGTACCTGTCCCAGAGAGGCTTTCTTAATTTAAGGGAAAG